CTTTATGAATAAATAGATGATTGTTTGTAGTCTTTGTGACTAGACTGAAGTACAGTGCGACAAGAATGCCTGAGAACTATTGTAACAATATGGGAATTCCCATCTTTGCATAAATATTATTTGCTTCATATTTGGTAGGAGTGTTAATTATTTTCTTCAGGTGGTTGGAGTTGGAGCTGAAGCTTGTTGCAGATGTTGGAATTGTGGGGGCACCGAATGCTGGGAAAAGCACACTTTTGAGCGTGATAAGTGCTGCACAGCCAGCTATAGCAAATTACCCTTTTACCACTCTACTCCCAAACTTAGGTGTAGTTTCATTTGACTATGATTCAACTATGGTGGTAGCAGATCTTCCTGGCTTACTTGAAGGGGCGCACGAGGGCTTTGGTTTAGGCCATGAATTTCTACGTCACACTGAAAGATGTTCTGCGCTGGTAAAAAGCCACACCCCATAGTTTATTTTTATTTTTATTTAGAAAATCACACCCTATAGTTGACTGTCTACTTATTAATAGCATTTTTGGGCATGTCGACTTGTGATTCGACACTTATTTCTTTCAGTGATTACTGATTAATTATAGAAAACCTATTCTTATATGGGGAAAATATGCACGTTTGTTTTTGAAGCTAGATGATAAATTTACCTTCTTCATGGCTTTGTAGCTTATAATATTATTTCACATCAATCCTTTGATCTATTGGAAGGGGCGAAAAACATAAATGCTTCTCCCACACTGTTGATAGAAAATAAACCTCCAATCTCCTTTTCTATTTTTACCTTTTCTACTCCATTTGTTGGCATCATAATACATAGAAAGCTGAAGAATCTCCATTTTTCCTCGTGGAAGTGTAGGTGCACGTGGTTGATGGATCAGGACCACAACCAGAATATGAATTTGATGCTGTTCGTTTGGAGTTGGAGCTCTTTAGCCCCAAACTAGCTGAAAAGCCCTATCTTGTTGCCTATAATAAAATGGATCTTCCTGAAGCATACGAAAACTGGCCAGCATTCAAGGAAAAGCTACAAGCTCGTGGGATCGAACCTTTTTGCATAAGTGCCGTAAAAAGAGAGGGCACTCATGAAGTGATTAGTGCTGCATATCAGCTGCTAAGGGAAAGTAAAGAACCCAATAAGGAATCTCAAGGTCGTATAAATTATTGTTCCCACTCCCAGAATTTGTCTATTATATAAATCTTTGATATGTATGTCATTTATTCACAATCGATAATTTGTGTTAACAACTTCTGTCCATTTTAGGTGGGAAAATACCAGCAAATTTGGACCATGTAGCAGATAGAATACACAAGCAGCGTAGTGCTTCTATTGATGACTTTGAAATTATTCATGATAACGGCTCCAATGTATGGCATGTAGTAGGATCTGGTTTGCAACGTTTTGTTCAGATGACAAATTGGCGGTAAGTCCATCTTTACTCATGATATCTTTGTAGATATGTATAATTTTCAAGAGCTACCTATTTAGCGACTAAGAGTGAGAGTTTATGCTTCAAACTAGTTGAATTAGGAAACAAAAGTGAGGTGGGTTTTCCAACTTCAGGCAAAACCTTCAAGCAGAATCAGAGCAAAGACAAAAGAAATGAAGAAAACATTTAAATAGATGTTTAACTTTTATAGTGCTTTACGGTAAAGTTGACAATTGCATACAAGAAGTTCCTCTACCCTTTTTTGTTAGAGTTGATTATTCAGTCCCCTTGCTTTTTAAATACTTCGTTATAGATAACTTTTTCTTATTAAAAAGAATTCCTTTTCCTTCGTTGTAGAGCGATATCTTTTGGTTCATAAGATACTGTTTTGTTTTGACTTTATTTTGAGTTAAAATGGTGCAAGGTAGTTAAATCATGGATCGGTTTCTGCACCTCCTTTTATCTTCTTTTTCATTTCTATTCCTCCTCTTTTGGGTTTTATGGTTCCCTTGTTTTCCCAGAGGAACGAAGTTAAATTTCAAGTACAGCTCCAATAAGGAGTAATTCAACACTTCAATTTTATATTTTCCGTTTCAGATAAGCATAATGTAAAAACCATCCTGGATGGCTCATTGGTCCAAAGGGGCTATRATTAATTGAGAGGGGATGTGTTTAAACCTCATGATTGTCACCTACATTAAAAATTTATTTCTATGTATTTCCAAATACTAAATATTGTATGGTCAGGTGTGCGCCGTGAGATTAGTCAAAGTGCATGCAAATTGGCCCGGGCACTCACGGATATGAAAAAAAAAAAGTTCTGCAAAGTGCAATCTGCTGCATGTATTTTGTCTCTCATTTGTTTCCAACTGAAGTTTTTCTCATAAAAGGAAAATCTGCAGCATGTATTTTAAATGGGATTTCACCCCGAACTTCTCATTTTTTACCCTCTTCAACATAGCTTCAGATTATATTCCGTTAATGGATGATGATTCCTCGATATCAAGATTGACTGCAACATGAATCTTGAGAAATTACTGAGTTTTTCAATCTTTTTTGCGTCTCACTGAACTTAATGCATTTTGTGTTTTGTGCAATAGTTATATGGAATCTGAAAGAAGGTTCCAACATGTCATGGAGGCTTGTGGTGTCAACAAATCTCTCAGAAAACTTGGCGTCAAGGAGGGCGACACTGTGTTTGTTGCAGAGGTACATTCTACATTCATGCTTAATTTTCTAGTTAAATGGAACTTTGTATCTTTTATTTTATTGGCTCAACCCCAGTTACCAATAGTTCATAAGCAAAGCTGCACCATTTTGAAATATGAGAAAAAATTATAGAAAAGCAAATACACAACTCCAGCGAGTATATGACCTGAAGTAGAAAGTAACCAACCTCTATTTGTTCTTTTTCTCCATAGAGTTTTGGAGTGATTCCCCTCGGTCTGAACCTGGATTCTTTTGCAATGGCATGTATCTCTCTTCTTTCTTAGGAACAATTAGAATATCTATGTTTCTTCTTAGGGCTCGTTTTCTCTATTCTTACTCAAATTCATCACATCATAAATATGATTGTCCAAAGTGAAAATAATTATTAAGGTAGTTCCATGTCCATTTAAGGGTCATTAACCTCTTATTGTGGCCATTATTTTTTTATGTCTGTGAGTGTTCGGGCCAATTCAGCTTGAACATGGCTCATCTATTCTTACAGTACAACCATGTGACCATACTACATTTGGTTGCCAAGACAACTCGTAGAATGTTAAATCCTAAGTAGGTGACTCATGATTCAAACTCATTCCTTCTAAGCCTTTTACTCTTTACATTGACCCTTATGACAACTGAGTCAAACTATGATGGTCCACCATCCTCCTAAAACATCATTGTTTAGCAATTAACAATTGAGTAACTTTCTCTTCATATATATCATTTAAAATTTATGCTACAACTGTTGAAAAAAGTTTGAGAATCAAGGTAAAGAATTAAGGCTTGTATCCATCTTGCCATTACATGCTAGTTATATTTTACATGTTGTATACTACATTTTTCATTTTCATTGTATCTCAGTCACTGTTTGGATGCCTGTTTGGGTAACATAGATCAGAAAATTGAAAAGCCTTGAGAAATTAATCAACTACCTAATGTTAAAAAGAAGTAGTTAATAACTTGAGAAAATTAAAGTAAACAAGATAAACTGAAAGAAATACACAAAATCTATCAAATCCACACTGCCGAAGTTCTCTCTATTTTTATTATTCCTCATGAATGAAACTTGAATGAGTGGGATTTTTGGATATTAAGATAAGAAAATTTGAGTACTCATAACTTTTTTGCTTCGTCTCTCTTCAGATGGAGATGATTTGGCATGATTCACCCAATAGTTTTGGTCCATCTAATATGAAGAAAAGATCAGATTCGGTCAAATGGCCAGAGTGGAAGTAACTCATCTTTGTTTGCTCACTGGAAACTTAATGTTGATAACAGCAGGTACGTCTCTGGAATTTTCTTGCTTTGAAATTGATATTGCATTAAGGAACTATAGTAATTATCATTTTTAAGATTAATGATGGGGTGGGTTCTAACTGATTCCAGTGAATTTATACTAGTGCTGTCTGCATTTCTTTTGCATATTGCACGCGTTTCTGAAACATCGTTACGACGGTTGAAACGCTTTGACCTATACTCTCTGCTAAAATTGGTGGGCAGGATGAATTTTCCTAATGGATCAAATGAACAACCTTAGACATGCTGGAGACCTGAGTGAAGAGAATAGCAGCGAGTCGTCCCCCTTTCAGCATTTGTGATGGTAACTAAACTCTTCTGCACACAACTCTCAAATGCTTAAATGAGAAGAAAGTTCAATTTTTTCATACACAATCACATAGATGCTTTCGTGTCTATTTTTTAGTTYAGTACCACGTGGGTGGAGATTCGAACCCACAACCTTTTGATCGGGTGATTTAACCAGTTGAGTTATATTCAGGTTGATTGTCTTCATGTCTAATTTAGTCACAAGGTTTAGGTAGTTCTCTGATATATACTCTTTCGGGAGATTATTTATTTAGTGTAACTATCTTATTGTAGCCTTGTAGGTGTGATATGTAGAGAAATAAATTCTCTTTTAATAGTGTTACAGGCCAATTGTATTGGTCAAATTTACTATGTATGGAGACGGCCACTCAAACTTGACAACATAATGGCTCCTTACTTTTATCTTTAATTATTATTTCAACTGTAGTAACTAGTAACGTCTGGTTAATAATTTCAAAGTCAATCATATTGCAAGTTTTATTGGTCATTTTAACTATTTTTATTGCAATTTTATGATTGTTTTTAAATAGGTGTTTCAACTTTTAATTTTGTGATATGTTAAACATGTTTAAAATTCAAGCTCTATTACACATCTTTTAGAATTGGAAAAATATTTTTTAAAGTTTAGGGATCAATTACACATGACATTAAAAATTTAAGAACTTATTCGACATAGTTTGGAAAGTTTTAGTGTCTAAATTTGTAATTTAAACTAACACAATTTGAGTAATGTAAAGCTGTATGATGACATCATTCTAATTTCTTATGAAAATTTTGATATCCAAAATATTATTTTGTTGAAACCTTTTCAAAAATTTATTTGCTATTGTTTTTCAAAGTTTTATTATGTTTGAAGGTCCCCTATTCTTTTTTTCTTCTAGAATTGTAAAATTTTCTTTTGATAAAATATACAAGAATTTAAATGTAAATGTTGGATGTCAACAAATATTTCCAAAAAAAAAAAAAATTAAAACGAGCAAACAAGTGTTTATTTTTCATTTAAAATATGTTATAAATTATTTCATAGAAAATATTAATTGAGCTTTTGTATGGACATTAAACCTTTTTTCATATCAATCAAATGAGATAGTGAGAGAAATTGGAGAGACAACAAATTTTATATTTTAAGTATTTTATATGTACTTTTCTTGACTCTTCTATAAGGATTTGCACCTAGTATATTTTAGGAAAATTAGAAACCTTAATCACTGAGGTGGATTTTATTGGTGATTTAAAAATAGAAATCCGAAAACAAGAAATTCAATTACAAAAAATAGAGTTGTGTTCATATTTTTAGTGTTTTCAAATACGTGTTTAGTAGTAGATTTAAAAAATTGTTAAGAAATTGTACAAGTTATATTTAATAATACATTTGTAAACGAAGATAGTTATCAACTAAATATTTACTTCAATCTAAAATAATATTAATTAATTCATTAAAACATATGTTAAAACTTTGGAGAATTATTATTTCACAATATTATATAATTTATAATATATTATCCCTTTCCTGTTCTAATTTTAATAAAAAGAAAAAAAGAAATGATTACTAGTTTTCAGAATTTTCACTATTCGAATCACATATCACGAAAACAATTAGTGAAAGTCAAAATAATAAACATAATTCAAATTGCATACCGACGTAAACCTACTTTGTTAAAGCAAATAAACATATGAAATAAAACTAAAGACTGTTGCAAATACTGGTGATTGGTTAAGAAGTAAGGCTGAACCCGACCCACCTCCTGAAATACAGCAAAAAATCTTACAATTTCATGCACTTAGATTTTTTTTGGTCTGTTTTTTTTTTCCTCTGTCTCTGAGATTACTGCCAGAATTCTTTTCAGAATGTCATTCGTTTCTCATTTTCCGATAAAAACAGTTTAGAATTCCTCTCTGATTCTTCCTAGTACTGATTTTCCTCTGTTCTCTCTTTTCTTTATATATAAAATTTAATGTACTCTCAAATATGTCATTTTGTTGTCTTGTCTCTAATAAATGCATCCCATAATATCTATTTTTATTTATTTATTATTTTTTTCTCGTTGATTCAAATGAACTAAAATTAATTAGAAGAGAATGAATTCAAATTTCATGATAGCCATTTATTTAAAAATTAGTAATTTCTATGCGTTTCTTGATCCCAAATGTTGTAGGATCAGATGGTTGTCCCATGAGATTAGTCGAAGAGCAAGTGAGTCGGTCCGAACACTCACGGATATAAATAAAATATATATATATAGTGTTTTATTTATTAACTACAAATAACTCATCAATTCTCTTTTTTTTTTATATTTATTTTCGATCTTACATCTTTGAGATATATTTAGATTGACCACATATATTTATTGTATTGAATAAATCTTCATTTACATCTATGAAATAAAATATTTATCAATATTTTTGTAAATTTAAGAGTTTAATTGTTGATATAGTATATAAAGTTTAGCAACAATTAATAATTGACACAGATAAAATATCCATTTGATATTTTTCATAATGGAGAGAAGAGTTTGATAGTGATGATTTATACGCATGTGTGTGCGAAAAAAATATTGAGGAAAGTATAAAAATGTAAAAAATTGTTATTTATGTGAATATAAATATTGTAAATAAATACTTGTAACTTAATAATAATCTAAAAGATTTGTTTGTTAATTAGTTTCTTAAGTTTCATTTTTTTAGTTCAACGTTAAGGATTTGAGCCTCCAAATTTTGAGAAAATGAGCAATGCGTTGACCTGTGATATTACTTTTCGACATTATTCATCCTACCAAGAAAGTTTAAATCTTATTTTGGTGTCTGTATTTATGTGCTTATAGTTTATTTTGGTCTAAAAACTTTCACGTGTTCGGTTTATTCCCTTCCACTTTTAAATATTATTATGTTATAGTCCTTAAACTTTATATAAAAATCTATTTTTAATTCCTATAAAAAAATTCTACTAACCACTCAATAAGAAACCTAAATCTATTTTACTTTTAACTTCCCATATATGGCTTCAAATATTTATCTATAAAAATATTGATTAATCAAGTAAATGAACCAAAATATAATCAAAATTTTATTAAATAATTTATTAAAAATTAGGCAAAGACTAAAGTGGATTTTTATCCCAAGTTTAGAGACTAATAATATAATTACACACTTACCATTTTCTTGATGTTTTGAATTTAATCCTTATTTGAATGCACGTTTTCATCACCCAAAATGAGGATATTGAATTTTCATCTCGACATTTTTTATATGTTCATAGATTCGACATTGATACGAAAGATAAATTGGTATTTTCATAATATTAATATTTTCATAAACGTCTATCGATATCTATATTTTATCACTTACTTCTATCTACAGTTTTGTGAAATTAAGACTTCAATAATTCCATCTACGTTGATATTTAAAATCGGGTTAGAGACAAAAAAAATTACGAAGAAAATGAGTAATAGGAAAGTAATAAAAGTTGAGGAGAAGATCTTATGATCACATCCACACTGTATAGAAGTTCTGTTTATTATTATTCATCATTAATGAAACTTTTGAATAATGAGTGGGATTTCTTGGAATTTACAAAAGAAAAAATTTCACTTTTTTTTTTTCTCTGACTATTTTCATTTTTATCTTTTTTCAATACATACTTTTAATTACATGGAGATGATTGGCCATCATTCTCCCAACAGTTCAATCTAATCTTATATTATATACATAGCCACCTACCTTTGCTTGAATTTTGAGAAACATAAAAAGTAATTAATATGTTTTTCCTCAGAAAATTAAAGGAAAAAAAAACTAAGAGTATGTTTATGATCATGAGATTAGTAGGCCATGATGAGCTTAAAATGTATTATAATTCTAATATATATGATCTTTATTACCATAATTTTACCACTCATTTATATCCATGTTACATCATCTATTCATTCGTGGGACCTACGAAATTAAAAAAATAAATAATATACAATAGTTAATGAGAATAATTTTTTTTTATATATCTGTGAATGTCCGAAGCGGCTTACGGACACCTCGACTAATTTCACGGAGCAACCGTCTGATCCTACAATATTTGGTATCGAAAAACACATAAGAATTACTAATTTCTAAGGTAGGTGATGAAAAGTTTAAAAATATAACGTTATAAATGTGATAATATTTAAATTGGGGACACATACATTAGAAGCTTTTTGGTAAAAATCGTGTAATTAACCTTATTTCAAGGTTTTTCTTGAAAGCAAGTTTCGAGGTTAAAGTTTTGGTTTTTGTCTTTATTTACCTTATAAAATTGGCCTAATATGTGGTAAAAATGTTATTATAATGTTATTGAAGATCTAAAAGTAACCCATTCATTTATTATTTGGATCACTTTTATGATAACAATTAAGTATAAGATATATTAAAAAAAAACAATTAAATATAAGATCAAATTGCCAACAACGGAGTTCAAAATAAAAAATAGGAAATAATTAAAAGTTTAGAACAACATTCTAAATGTTTAGGGATTATTGTTTTTTCCCGAGACCCAAGCCTATTTTCATTTAATTAGTTTTTAAATTTTTGTAAATTTGATTTGGACCCATTAAACATTATTTTCTATTTCCTATTTGAATCTTTTTAACATTTAAAATCTCAATTTTATTCTTTGTCAAAATTCCACAACTAACCCTATTATTAAAGATGAAAAATGAAGATATAATTGACATCTTTTGTAACAATAACTAAATATGAATTTTGTTGGTTCAATGGATAAATTATCAATTATCTTTTTGAGGTCAAATATTTAGTCCCCCTTCACATTTTTTTATATGAAAATTTAAATACAGATTTAAACAAAATCTAGATTACTAAAATAGATGTTTGAAAAATATTTAAAAGAACGAAATAAAAATTCCAAACCAAACTTTCAAAACATTTAAGGGCAAAAATAGAAAAAAGGATTAAAAATAATAATAAATGACCAAATAGCACAATTTAGCCTTATCATTTTTACTATTTTATGTCCTTTTTTTCCTTTTTAAAATTGTATACTACCTTAAGTTCTCAGTTACCGTGAGCATTATTTAAATTAAAGAAGAAAAAATAAAATAAAATAAAAAGCAAAGTCTTTTTTGTTGCTTTAAATAGGAAAGAGAGGAAATCCTGTGGTTTGCGCCCTACGGTAGGGACAAAAAAAGTAGACTTTCATGTAAGTTTGACTTAGCCCGTAGCCGTCCAATCTAAATAATCACAATATCCCTTTTCCGATCTTTGACCGTTCATTCCCATTCATCTTCCACTGTTGTTAATAATTATCGTATCAACCACATTCTCCATCACTCTTCATCTACGCCGTACATCTTCACATGTATATAATTAATACTCAATCTACACCGTACAGCTCACCATGTATTATATTGTTTTCAAGTACATCATATTGCACGTGATCTCTACAATTCTTTTACATGTCATCTGTTCTATTTCCAATGTCAACATATGATTTT